GTCCCGCCGTGTCCCGCACCTCGGGCCTCACGGAGGGCAAGGAGCCAACAGTCGACGGAGGCCCCAGAACAGAGTGCGCAGCCCCCAGCAGACGTCCAGCGCGCTCCCCGCATGCCTCGCGCCTTGGGCGGTGTCTCGCTGGCGAGCTTCGGGGGGGGGGGGGGCACTGGGTCGCTGGCAGACCACTGGGTTGTACTTCGGTTTTTCAACGCTTCCCCGATCCTGCCCACGGGAGCCCGCGACAGGGCAGCCGTGGCGCGAGTGTGGTTGAAAGAGAGGGGGCGAGAGGGGACGGGGTAGGCAGAGTGCGCGAGTGTGCGCCCTAAGCAGCCGCCTAGCACCGCGCGACCCTAACATGCGCCGTTTGACGTCCCCTCTTCCTCCCAGAGGAATTTGCGACGTTTGCCTCGTGCTCCTGGTTGCCGCGCGTTGTCTGCACTTTTCGCAGTCATCTGGGCGCTTCGGCCCCTCCCTGCAGTACCCTCGCGGTGCAATTTCGCTGGTCGCAGCGGCAGTCGCAGTCCCTGCTTCCTCCTCCTCCCTTCTCCTCCTCCTCCTCCTCCTCCTCCTCCTCCGCCTCCTCCTCCTCCTTCTCCCACTCCTCCTTCCCCCTCCTCCTGCTTCCCTTGCCCTTGCTGGTGCTTTTCATCCTCCTTCTCCTCCTCAGCTGCCATCCTCCTTCCCTGCCTCGCTCCGCTACCCGTCCTTCATGCCCCGCTTCTTCCCTTCCTTCCCAGCATCCCTCCTCCTCCTCCCTCTCCTCCCCCTCTCCTACTTCCTCCTTCTATTCCCCTTCGTCCGCTTCCTCCCCTTCTTCCACCTCATCTTCTTCCTCTTCGTCCTCTTCCCCATCCTCCCCCTCCTCCTTCCCCAGCATCTCTTCCCCTCTCCCTCCCCCTCTCCTCCTTTCTCCTCCTATTCCCCTTGTTCCTCCCCGTTGCTCCTCCTCCTCCTCCCCCTCCTCTTCCTCCTCCTCCTCCTTTCCTTCATCCTTTTCCTTTTCGTCAACTCCTCCCTACCGTACACGCATGCGTGTTGGTAGGGCGGGTTGGGCGTTCTGCTGGGTTTCCCTCACCCTTGAACATCCTGAAGCTTGAAGTTCGCAGCAGTGTCACGGATGGAGGGCGGGCCCATTTTAAGCGGTGGTTCTCGCCTTAGCGACGTGCGCGTTCGTTTTCAAAGCTTGCAGCAGCTTCACGGATGAAGGGCGGGTGGCTTTCAACATGTGCCTCTCGCCTTCGCGCTGGGCACATTCGTTTTCAAAGCTTGCAGCAGCTCCAAGAGTGTATGTAGTTTTTTCTTCAACATGCGTCTCGCGGCCCAGCGCCGAGCAAATTCGTTTGGAACTTTGCAGCAGCTTCAAGGATGGAGTGCCTTTCACAATGTTGTTCCCGCGTCGGCGCCGCGCGCGTTTTTTGAAACACATTGCAGCACTCTCAAGGGTTTGCGTGGTTGAAGGTCCACGAGTGGTATTCTGGCACGGTTAAGGGTTGTCAGGGCGCAACAGTCGCGTTTTTTGTTCGCGGTGTCGGAGTCCCAGGTGCGGTGTCTTTGGTACGGTTTAGGCATGTCAGGGCGCCACACTCACGTTGATTCGCGGCGCCGGAGTCCCAGGAATGAGGTTTGGTCGGATTGAGAGTTTTCAGACGGTTGTCTTCCTGTTGGTTCTTCTTAGATATGCCCTGGGCGTTTGTTTACGGTTTTTGATTCAGCGTGTTGGGCATAGTTTTTTAGCGTCGTTAGGTCCCATCATAAACCAGGGAGCAAAAGCGATTTGTTTTCGTTTCTAGCTCAGTTTTTAAAGTGTTTTCAGATCAGTTGATTGCGCTATTTCGCATTGCCGTCCACCGTTCTCAGCTCCTCCTCCTTGCGTCCAGTCCTCCTTGTTTGTATTCAAATCGTTTTCCCTTTCTCTGGTCGTCGCTGCTGGCTGGTCGCGGGGCCCCTGGGCCTGTTCCGCGCCGGTGCTAGACCGGTGTTAGGGCGTTTTTTTGTGGTTTTAGCTTTGCGCTCTGCGCGCGGAGCGGGAGGGACGGGAGGCGGCAGGAACAGGAGAGCAGAATCGGAGGTGGCAGTGAGGACACGGATCCGCCTTTGACAAGAAAGCAAAAAAACGCTAAACAAAATGAAGATCCACAGCGACGGGCCTGACAACGCCAAAACAACGCGGTTAAAACACGCAAGCACAACGTAGCGTTGTTTTAGCGTTTGTCGACTGTCAAGAGCCCAACGTGCAAAACGGTAAAAGAACGCACAGGGCGTTTTCCAGAAGAACCAAGCCAATCGGGCATTTCCCGCAATGAACATCGTTTGACCTTTGAAGAGGGGGCCTGGAGGGAAAGTTTATTGCAACATCGTTGTTGCGTCTTTGGTTTGCACGGGTCCTCCTCCCCCTCCTCCTCCTCCTCCTCCTCCTTTTCCTCCTCCTCATCCTCCTCCTCTCAGCGCTTCCCCCCCCCTCGTGGGGGACGGCGGCCAGTCGCGCATGGACGGGAGGGTG